ATCCTAACTTTGGACTTCCAGCCTCTGGAGCTATGAGAAACAGATGTGTTGCTTATAAGGCACCAAGCAGATACTGTTTTGTTACACCAGCCCTAACAGACTAAGGCAGATGGCGCCTCACCTCTTAAACAATTACTCTTCCACTTCCCCAAGATGGTGCCTGGATATAAGGAAGGCCAAAATAACCTGGCAGTGAGGGGAAGGGGCAGCTAGTCTGGGCAGCTGGACACTGTCTTTTTTGGGTCCTTACTGACCTTCTGGACTTACGACTTGGTATTGTGTGGTCTCTTTTCCTGACCCATCAGGGTACACTGGAACTTCCTGGGCTGACTCAGTCTCAGTTGAGTGCTGGGCGTGCTGCTGAGATGACACATCAATGCACACATTGGGTGCACACCATTTCTGCACTAGACATCTGGATCACAGCTTCAGAGACTAGAGAGCTAAAGGTGTGTGTACTGGATCCTAAATGCTTTGTCCCAAGAGCCAAATTCATTCATTGCCAATAAGGCCAGGAGGAGACACATAGCTCTGCAACAGGGCTGAGATAGATGAGGAACACTTGAATTTGGCAGTCAGTGAGTATCTCTGCTACAATACTTAAGGATCTCCACACTGCTAAATCCAATAGTCAGCTTTCAGTCCTCATTTTCTTAGATCTGTGTATTATCTTCCTCAGTTAGGCTTGCTCCTTACTCTAGTGGTTACCACTTCCCAGACTCTTTTTTTAGCAGTAGGAACTGTAATTTAATTATTATCCATTGTGTTCTAGCTCTTATTGATCTCATTTGATTGAACAATACCTGTTCAGTAGATACTGTTATTACTCCTTTCATATAGGTACTCAGTCAAGGTGCAGGGGCTGTGTTTTTCTCAAGTTCACACAGCTAGTAAATGCCAGAAGCAAGTTTCTAACCTATATCTTACTTGATTTTTTTTTCCAGTAAGGGGAGCATATTTCACTGCAATTTATCTGAAAAGGTTGTAAAAGTCCCTCCTCTCCCCTCCTCTGTGTAGTATTGTGCTAGTATTGGAGTTTGAACTCAGGATCATGTATTCTCACTTGGTTTTCTTGCTTGCAATTGGTGTTCTAACACTTGATCCAAGCCTTCAGTCTAGCCTTTTGATGATTATTTAGGGATAGAGTTTCACAGACTTTTCGGCTTGGGTTGGCTTTGAACTGTGACCATCCAGACTTCAACTTCCCAACTAACTAAGATTACAGGTACATGCCACCAGCAGCCAGCATCTCTGTACTCATTTTTACTTGCCATCTTATATGGGTCCAACAGCCTCTTGACTGCTTTTGTAAACTAAAACTGTGCTCAAGGATCAAGGCTATATGTCCTTATTGAGAAAAGCCCACATAAATGCATCATAGGCTTTGAGGTAGCAGTTTCTAAAATATTTTTGTGCAGTAAAATCCATGTCTCTCCTTTCAAGAGGGCTTTTAGAAAGGGATCACATTCATTTGTCCATGTGCTCTAGAAAAAGCATACTTGTCACAGCATTTCAACAGACACACTCTCTGGCAGGAATCCAAATGTCTCCACACCCATGGCATCCCCTCAGAGCCTCTGGGTTTGTGGCAGTGACTGAACAGACTCTGTGAAAAGTCAGGAGTAAAGCAGGATGAAGAGAAAATTAAACCCTTCCCTGGCTGGTCAGACCTATTTGATGTCAGCAATTGATGGATATTTTGTTGACGGGCCTCATTATAATGTAGGGTTTGCTCTGCGTGAGCTGTGAAGGAGCTTAGATTGGGAGCAAGAAACTCACATCAAAAGGGACCTGTAATGAGGGATATGCAGCCACTCTGGTCCCCTTGAGAAGCCACCTGATTCAGAGACTTGGCAGAGTGGTCACTCTGTCCACTCCCAAAGGGCTGTGTATCTGAGTTCATCCTGCCTGTTTATCTTTCCCACTACAGAGCTTTAGACAGCAAAGACCCTGATGTTGGCAGAGGGGGACTCTAGCAGGTCCACTGCATGCCCTCATGGGACCCTACTTTGGCCTAGACCTGAAAGATTTAGGCATAAAATATAGATAATGTGGTATTGGAGTTTTGAGAAAGAACAAAATGACTCATTAATTTGTTTCATCATTGGCTTATTTGTTTCTATTTATAAAAAATATACTGCCCTAGACATTTATCTGCCATCTACTGAGGATACTGGAATGAGGGATTCCACATCTCTACTCTGCAAGAATCAATCAGAGAAATGGAGAGGAGAGACAGATTCTATCAAATGGCCTGTAGAATTCTTTCCCCCTCCCCTCAGGGAAGAGAAGTCTTGAGGCTGGGAGGCAGGCCAGGAGAGGCTCCAGGAAGGTACTATGGAGGAGTAGAAATGTGAATGGAGTTTAGAGTCTAGGCTGTGTGCTGACTGTGGTCTGTGGAAGCTTGTGAGAAGTATGTAAGAGAGGTTAAAGGACGTCTTTAGGACACACACACACACAATAAGAGGTGACTTCTGATGGAAGGGTGATTGTCCGGCTAGCTTCATGGAGGAGGGGAAGGTTGGTGGCAATACTGCAGCAAGGATTCTGCAAACACCTGAAGAGTGGCAGTAAACAAGGTGAGGGCTCATGTTGTGCATACTCAGTTTTGACTGGAAGATTAGAGTCATGTTGGGGGTATTGCAGGAGAAAGAGATAGATGTAGGTTTGTGCCATATTATGAGGAATCTTGATGCCCTGCCTGCAAAGGGTTTTTATTTCATTTCTAAGCAACGCAGGACAGTTGAACCAAGGAATAATGTCATTACAGGTGTTCATAGGAAAACTGGGGCGAGAGAAGCCAAATAGGAAGCAGGAGCTCTTATTTCACCCATTCTTTGGGAACAGCTTAGTCTCTGCTTGCCATCCATACCACCTAGCTCTGTGTCATCTTGAACCTCATGTTGAAGACCTGACATGACCCAAGGATGGTGTTCGCTGGTGATGTGGGCCTGGTGACCAGGGAGGTGAGGAATAGTCTGCTTTCTTTTCCTTTTTCTTGATTGAGCAATTGGTCCTGGGGTTTAATCTCATGGCCTAGCCCTTTCTGGGAAGGTGCTCTATCACTTGAATCATTCCCACTCCCCCAGCTCTTTTTGTTTTCATCATTTGAAAAATGATTTTTTTTTTGTTTTGCCCAAGCCAACCTGGATCATGATCTTGGACACTCTTCCTACAGAGCTGGGATGACAAATATGAATGAATAGATCGAGGCTGGCCTTGGACAATGATCCTCCTGACCTCAGCCTCTTAAATTTCTAGGATGACAGGCATGGGCCACACCGCTAAGCTTGAACAAGATGCTTTCTGGATCAGAAAAATTTTTCAAAAAGTAAATTTGTATTGTGTGTGTGTGTGTTTGAGAGGCAGTGATGGTTGGAGAAAGAAATTAGTTTGAGACCAAAGCATGGGCCTCTTCGTTGAGAAAGATAAAGTGATAGAGCTATTGGAGGTGATGGCTGATCCTCAGAGGTTGGTCCTGGGTCTTAGTTTGCTATTTGCTCAAACAACTGGACCAATGAAAAGTATAGTATGCTCACACCTGGATTATATATTCAACTTTGTCCAGAAGGCAAAAAGAAAATAAAGTTAAATAAGGACCTTGGGTGGCCTGTAAAATGTTGAAAGGAACTTTCCGTCTGAAGACACATGGAAAATATTCAGAATTCTTAATGGGAAAGATGAAGGCTGGGATGCACAGGCATGATTCTGGAGTTATACAAAGCAAATGAATAAGAGAAACAGGGATTTCACCACACCCTAGTAGACTCAGAGTGAGAGATCTGCTGTGAAACTGGAAAGAGGCAATGTTAGGCAGGAAGAGGAAAGATTCCTTCATGTGATGTAAAGGTCACTCAAGGACATTGGGTCCTTGATGATGCTGTGCCAAGAACACTGACCTGAATGTGAGCAAAGTCATATCATGTCCAAGATGGCACACCCTAAGCAGAGGTTAAAGCCAGTGGTGCCTGGTGCCTGTGTCACTCATTCATATGGACACTAACACATGACGATGACATCCCAGGAAACAGCATCCAGTGGCAGTGGTCTGTGAGGTCTGATTCACACAGATGAAGATCTTCTGTTTGTTTCTGAATTTAGTTGAATATTCAAAGTGATCAACACAGGAGTTTTAACCTCTCTTGACTTTTATTTCTTCCACTTCATATTATGATGATTTGATGTTAATGAGTACCTCCAGGGCATTATAAGCAACAAAGCATAGAGACTCTTACTGTGATCTCACAGTGAACTCTGAAACACAAAGGAGCCATACACTAAGAAAATCACACTGAGTCCATGACTTTTATCTAAGGCCATAGGAGCAAGGAACACACACACACACACATGCTCCTCCAATCAAATTTATTAGTTGCCAATGCAGAGACCAAAGAGACTAATTTCTCCATTTTTGACCCCATTGATTGAGTGCCTAGCAGACATGCCAGGAAGGAGTGGAGGAGTAGAGAATTTGTACTTCTTAATTAAATAAACAACAATAACAACCAACAATGACCCTCCCCCACAAATAACCTAGCAAAAATGTGAGTCCTCAGGAGATGATTACTATCTATGCATTTCATACATAAGAGGAAGAGAATCTGCCCACTTGATTAACAGTGTTGCTATAGTGTGAATGCATGTATTGGATCCATATGTTAGAAACCAAGATGCAATACAATAGCGTTAAGAGATGAGGCCTTAGGGACTGAGTAAGTCATAAAGCTTCTACCTTCCTGAATGGGATTAGTGCCCTTATAAAGAGGCTTCAAGAGATAGGGAAGTCTTTGGAAAGAGAGAGACATTTTCACCAGACACTGAATCTGTTGTTGCCTTGATCTTGACTTCTAGAGATGTGAGAAGTAAATTTGCGTTCTTTATAAGTAACTCAGCCTCAGGAATTTTGTTATAGCAACAAGAAAAGATGAAGTCAGACATGGAGGAACCAAGACAGTGAAGGCCTGATCTGACCAATGTGTGTGTCCTGTGCTGCTCTGCAGGTGACTGTTGGCTTCTGGCAGCCATTGCCTCCCTCACCCTGAACGAGAAGCTGCTTTATCGAGTAGTCCCCAAGGACCAGAGCTTCCAAAAGAACTATGCAGGCATCTTTCATTTCCAGGTATTGGGCTTGGTTTATGGTCTTTGTTACTACATTCCCTATCTCAGGTCCCACCCTAAGTCTACTGAATCTGAAACTTCAGGGGGTGAGGCTAGTAATCTGTGTTCAACAACCCCTCCAGGAGACTCTGTTGCACACTGGAGTACATCCATCCCACCATCCTTGTGTCTATCCCGTTCCTGTATCCTCCAGGCTACACGGCTGTGAGGAAAGCACTTTGTACTTTAGGATCGGAAGAGGGAGTCTGAGTCACCCAGTGTTGCCTTGGGGGTGATGTGGGAGAATATTCTCTTACCCATAAACTAAAAAGAGTGGATCAGTTGTTTCTTGGTACATGTGGCAGCTCTGGGTTCACAGATGAGGAGACATAGATCCTTTCCTTAAGGAGCCTGAAGTTTGCGAAAGACCCAATACGTGGCCACTGACAACACAGACCCCACTGAGGGCCAGTGAAGAGCTTCCGTATCTTTCCTCAGGTGAACAGCCCTGTGCTTTCTCATCCCTAGTTCTGGCAGTTTGGAGAGTGGGTGGAGGTGGTCATTGATGACAGGTTGCCCACCAAGAATGGACAGCTGCTCTTCCTCCACTCTGAAGAGGGCAATGAATTTTGGAGCGCTCTGCTGGAGAAAGCCTATGCCAAGTAAGTGGGGGCAAGATGGGAGCTATGTGACTGAGGGTCCCCCCCGAAAGCTTTCCCTGGCCCCTTTCCACACCTGGCTCCCTACCCCTACTCAGGGTGGTATAACCAAGATTTTTCACTACTGGACAGGTTAGAGAGAAAGCATCCTTCAAGAAGGAAGAGATAGCAAAATCCACGCTGGGAGTTTAAGAGCTTAGCTATGTGAATGAATACGTGGATGGCAGGCAGTTCACCTGCCTCGCTAGGCCATAGCTTTTTCCCCTTTCAAAGCCCAGCCTCAATTCTTAGGACATTGTGAATTCTTAAAATTGGTGATGATGAAGGAGAAAAGAAATGTGCTTTGATCCCAAACTTAACAAAGTCTCTTCGTTTTGACATTTAATATCCAAAGATGCACTTTCTGGTTCTTTGAATTAGTGTTGTTTATGAATCCTCTTCCCTGTAATTCAGGTCTTTTCTAGTCCTGTTTCTAAAGCAAGCCTCAGCCAAGGTCTGTCAGCCTTGAGGGAAGGTCCCCTTCATCCCTACTTGTGCCTGTAACCCCCCAGAAATCCAAACCAGTTGTGTGAGGGTGTCTAAAATTGATCTAGTAAGATACTGAGCTGGATATGTGAAATAGTAGCTTGCGCATGTTCCAGGCTTAGAGTCAAAATCAGCAAAAAGCTCTCCTCAACCTTCTGGACCATAAGATCGTAGGATTGTCCCTTGGTTGCTAATGGCAGAGAGCGGTGCATATGTCTTTCTTTTCCAACAGGCTCAATGGTTCTTATGAAGCTCTTGCTGGAGGATCCACAATAGAAGGGTTCGAAGATTTCACAGGTGGCATCTCTGAATTTTACGATCTGAAGAAAGCACCGGGAAATCTGTACCATATCATCCGCAAGGCCCTTCATGCAGGATCTCTGCTCGGCTGCTCCATCGATGTGAGCCAGGACATTATACTTTGTCCCCTCTTTTCAGGTGTGATAGGGGAGGGATGGGACAGAATTAACAGGCCTGAGAAGGCTTTTGGTAAGCACAGTCTAAGACTTGATAGGCAAATCGGGTGACATAATGGTCTACAGCATGTGGGAGCTGGTGAAGATCTCACAAGTGGGTAGGGATTGGGATTAGTTGCGTTGTAGGAATCCCAATTTCCTTCTGTTAGAGTCCCTAATGTATAGCTAGAATTGCCCTGAGAATACAGCTCTGAGAATATACCTCTTTTTGCTAAATAATCTTGAGATTTTTGGAAACCCAACATGATGTTTGACAATACTCAGTGGATATGGAGTTTCCTGAAAGAAAAGGAAGAGGTTCTGAAACCAGGTAGAGTCATGGCCTGATAGGAAGGGATGGAACTCTAATGTGGTTGTGGAGACCAGAGGCCAGAGGCCACCATCTCCACAGGTCTATTGTTATCTGTCCCTCTGACTGCTCTCTTTTCTTCTCTTACTGTCATTTCAGATAATCTCCTTCCATTGAGTAGGTATCAGGGGCCAGGCTCAGAGAATAAATGTCTGGTGGTCTTTTTAAAGGTTGGTTGGTTGAGCCATGTTCCAGGCTTGGCAATCACTCAGCACCTGTCTGGCCTATTAAAGAGGGTTGAATGGAGAAGGCTCTGTTTGTTTGTAGTTTATTGCTTTACCTCTGCAGTATGTCTTTGCAAAGCCCTCCCTCCACCTTGTGTGATGTGTCTTTTTGTTGTAGTTGCTGCTGGCCATGGGCTTGAATTTGGCCTAAATGCTTCAGCTCAAGGCGAGCGCTCTACCACTTTAGCCATAGTGTCACTTCCAGTTTTCTGGTGGTTAATTGAAGATAAGAGTCTCACTAGCTTTCCTGCCTTGACTGGCTTTGAACTGAGATCCTCAGATCTCAGCCTCTTGAGTAGCTAGGAATACAGGTGTGAGCCACCGGTGCCCCATATGATGTGTCTTTGTAAAGCATCATAGAGCTGGTTCCAACGAGGTCAGGTTCAGCTGTGCTAAGTGAACTTCCTTTTTGACCCAGGTCTCCAGTGCAGCGGAAGCAGAAGCTATCACCAGCCAGAAGCTGGTTAAAAGTCACGCATACTCTGTCACTGGAATTGAAGAGGTAAAATTAAGCAGGAGAAGGGGGAAGGGCTAATGCCACAAATTCAGGGCACTCCTGAGGAGATCATCACTAAGAGGTTCAGAGTTCAGTCTCTGAATGCACAGAGCCATGCACAGATATGGGGCTCATTCTCAGCTTCTCAGAGATGGGTTACCTAACCCTTCTGAGCTCTAGCTCTCTGAGTCTAATAAAGTGCAAGGTCTCTTCCACGGTATGGCCAGGAAAGTTTGTTGGTTACATTTTATACATATCCCAGTAAAATTATGCTCTACAGATAAAGCAGTAGAAACTAATAGGAGTCTCCCCAAAATGAATGGTAAATTCCTTCTCCACATTTCAGGATAAGATACAATAATCAGAAGTATGTAGATAATTATTTAGCCCAAGTAAAAGCATGCCCTATATTTTCATTATTTTAATCTCCTATATTCAGTCAAATGGATTTAAGGTTGTTTACAATCAAAAGCACAGATACAGTCAAAGCATACAACTAAGGTAAAATTTATCCAAGTGGGATAAAGGCAGTGCTACAACTGGGAAATTGATTTTACTTTGGGTTTCCCAATGGCCAATGAGAAGAGACATGCAATGGGTATTCCAGCTCTTACTGTTTATTGTAATGACAGAAATACTCATTTCATGTACCTCTGTTTCATGAATGTGGTTTTAAAATCAATTCAGTTCCAGAAATATAACTCGAATATACATGTGAAAACATTGAGCTAGGTCCTAGGGAACTATATAAAGGAAATTAAGATGATCATGTCCTAATAGACCATGGTGTTTGGGTGTGTATAGAAATGCAAGCATGTGTATAGAGGTGAACAGAGGTAGATGGCAGCTCATACTTGGGTGTTCAATAAATTGTAGGGTAAGGTAAAAATCCTAGCCTGTTTTCTGTTTCTATAACAGAATACCTAAGACTGGGTAGTTTAAAAAGAAAAGAGGGTTATTGAACACATGGGTATGGAGGCTGGGAAGTCCAAGACTAAGTGGTTGTGAAAGATTTATGCTATTTTATAATGTGGCAAAAATTGGAAGGATAGGTGGGCACATTCAGAAGAGAAACAAGTTCTGAGAGAGTGAGAACTCACTACCATGAGAATTAACCCAGTCCCTTAGAAAGGCCTCATTTCTTCATTATAATCTAATGATCTCTTGAAGGCTCTGCCTCCAAACACTGCCACAGTGGGGAGCAAATGTCAACATGAGTCCGGGAAGGGACAAGCTATATTTAAACTGTAGCAGTCAGTGTCAGTACTTACAGGTTTAAGCTTTGGAGGTTTAAGCTGTCTGGATTCCCATCCTGCACTCACCATGTACTCACTAGGTAATTGTGGAATGATCAGGAAAGTTCCAGAGTCTCTTGACTTTTGATCTGTAAAATAAAGATAATAATAACGCCCAGCATGAGGAGGTTTAAATGAGGCAATAATGCATTCGAAGTGCTTAGCACATGCTTGGGCTTCAGTCTATCCTCAATACATGCTTATTGTTGGGATACTGGCATTTTTTTTATTACACTGTCTCAGACATTAAGAATTGAGTCTTGCTGAACACCAGTGGCTCATGCCTGTAATTGTAGCTACTCAGGAAGCTAAAATCTGAGAACTGTGGTTCAAAGCTAGCCCAGGAAGAAAAATTTGCAAGAGACTCATCTTCAATTAATCAGCCAGAAGCTGGAAAGTGGAGTTGTGGCTCAGATGGTAAAGCACCAGCCTTAAGCAGGGGAAAATATTAAGTCAAACATGGTTGGGTATGAAATCTAAATACTAGTTAAAGCTGAAAAACTTGTTTTTGTACTAGATTTACCCTTCAGTTAATCAAACTAATTATGAAAAATAGAGCACTGGATAAAAGTCTGAAAAAATAGGTTAAAAGAAAATAGAAGTGAGCTGGGCACCAGTTGCTCATGCCTGTGATTCAGGAGGCTGAGATCTGAGATCTGAGGTTTGAAGCCAGCCCAGGCAGAAAAGTCCCTGTGAGACCCCGTTTTTTTTTTTTTTTTTGGTCGGTCATGGGGCTTGAACTCTGGGCCTGGGCGCTGTCCCTCAGCTCTTCAGCTCAAGGCAAGCCCTCTACCACTTGAACCACAGCTCCACTTCCAGTTTTCTGAATGGTTTATTGGAGATAAGAGTGTCATGGACTGTTGTGCCCAGGCTGGCTTTGAACTATGATCCTCAGAACTCAGCCTCTTGAGTAACTAGGATTGCAGGCGTGAGCCACTGGTGCTTGGCTCCTGACGAGACTCTTATCTCTAATTAACCACTCAAAAACCAGAAGTAGAACTCTGGTTCAAAGTGGCAGAGCACTAGTCTGTAGCAGAACACAGGTATAGTGCCCAGGCCCTGAGTTCAAGCAAAAAAAGCAAAAAAGGAAAAAGAAAGTAGAAGTATCATCATTTAGGGACCTAGAATTCCTAGAATTCTATAGATACATAGAGTGCATATATTGTCAGGTGAGACATGAATGTAAGGCAGATGCTTTGTGTGTGTGTGTGTGGAACTTGCAGGTGGATTTCCATGGCCGTCTGGAGAAGCTGATCAGACTCAGGAACCCATGGGGCGAAGTGGAGTGGTCGGGAGCCTGGAGTGATGAGTATGTTTTTCTTTACCTTCCCAGTTCTCCCTGCTCCTGAGAGGTGATGAGGACTACAATCCAGTGGATTCTGTAGTACTTTCTGTTCACAGGTTACGCAGCCTATTCTGGAAAGGTTATTAAATACTTCCAAAGCAAAATAAAACCATTTAATTATACTCTTTGATTTTGGCTTTCGAAAATGTGACAGTTTCTTTGAATTTTGTTTAGCACAGAGGGTTCACCTGTTTTTCCATCAAACACACAGTGGTAGTCCAAAGGTCAAACCCATTACGCAGGCTCTTCTCCTCCCATTGGACAAAACTGCTTCCTCTGACAAAAAACAAATGTCTCCATGATTCTGAGATCATGGGTTGGGGCTCCAGTAGGCAGCCATGAATGGGAGCTCACTCCATGAGCTCATGACTGGTGGTTATTGATCATTGCTATAGAGGAAATTATTGGATACCTTCTGTACTGGTAAGGTTAACTCAATCAGAGGTGATGTTCTGAGACTCCTATACCTTGGAAATGATGGGCCCAGATGTGGGAGGATGGAGAGGGCATGAAGTAGTTTCCATCCAATTACCACAGCTGGCCCAGGAGAGGTTCATTGGTACCATGGTTGAAGTTGCAATGCACTAGTTTTATTGGCCAACAGGACTAGAAATGAGAATGGCTGGAATACTGCTTCTCTCCCAGTCTTTTAGCTTTCAACAGTCAAAAGCTTAAGCTCTGTTCATCCATATCCCGTGACATCACCAAGGCCTCAGAAGAGAACTTGATCACATTGAGTGATGGCATCATTACTGCTTGTTACTGCCTGGAACTCCTGCATAAACCTTCTGGTCTGTGTCAGAAAAAAGCTGTGCCATTGGAACCTGTGGATATGGAACCTGTATGAAAGACTTTTTAGTCCACTGCCTAAGATTGAGCAAAACCCCAAACCTCAATTCAGCAAACTTTCCTAAAAGGATAAAATGGCCAAAAAAAGTTTAAACCCCAGGTTTTGGCCATTATTTTTCACCGATAGAAATGTGTGCAACTGTCAAAAGGATTTGTTGGGCTTTATCTCCTCTCTGTGATGAGACCACGCAGGGTCCTCATAGACTGGGAAGAATTTAGGTGTGGAAACAAAGCCTGGTGGGGGAGACAGAGTGAAGTCTAGGATTTTTACATCCTGGATACTGAAGAAGCAATGTGTTTAATGTCTGAGGTGCAAATCTGGAAGTTCAGCTAATGTCTGGCTAGATTGTTTTTTTTTTAACTATTGGGAATTAAACTCAGGACCACACACTCCTCACACATGCCAGACAAGGTGCTTTGTCATTTTAGCTATGCTCCTAGTCCTTTTACTTTTATTTATTATTCAGATAGTGTCTTGCCCTTTTACCTTTGTCAGCTACCTCTGCCTTTGTATGATCTGGGATTGTATACATGAACCACCATACCCAGGTTGTCTTTTTTTTATTTATTTTATTTTATTTGTGAACATATTGTACAGAGGGGTTACAATTACATGGGCAGGATAATGCGTACATTTCTTACCAAGCATTGCAGCCTCCTCCTTTGTTTACCCTTCACATCCCTTCCCAGCCTCCCTCCCCCCCCCATCCCAATCCTTCTCCCCCCCTACCCAGGTTGTTTTTTGAAGATAGGATCTCACTAACTTTTGCCTGGGCTGACCTTGAACCATGATCCTCTTCCCAAGTAGCTATTATGTGGTGGTGGTGTGTGTGTGGTGGGGTAGGGAGGGTGTTTATTTTGAAAACAATCAAACCCAAGATTAGGTTAGAGCTCAAATTCTCTAATGTCCCCTAATCCTTGTTTAGAACAAGCTTATGTTGATTCAGTTCTGATTAAACCAATGTTTCAATGAATTTAAAAAAAAGCCCGAAGAACACTTTCATTAAACCTTGGGCTCTTAGAAGTCAGCTCTAGCTGGGTAATCTGGATTTGGGTGTGCCAGTTTCTATGATGGGGAAGGAGGGTTTGGCTTTGCTGAAAGTGTACAGAGAAAGGTTTGCCTTTTTAGTTTTCTAAAGATGGAAGCTTAATACAGCTCCATTATTTAGACACTGCACATGTATTTCAGGAAATGCTAACGTCGCAAAGGTCAGGTAGCTCAAGATGGCATTTAAACAATGGACATGGCTACTGCAACGGAAAGGCTACTAGCAGGAGGCCTTACAGGTGGCATTATCACAAGGAAATTGCCATCAAACTGAACCTCGTGGTTTTTCTTGCAGGCTCAGGAGGTGGACTGTGTCCAAGTACCTAGTGCTTGTCAGAATCTCTCATAATATAGTCCCCACACCAACAAACCAATGGAAATGACAACTTACTAATTGGCACTGGAGTACCTGCCCTTCTTGTGACAAGATCTCTTATGTCTTCTCTTTTCAACTTCCTCATTCCTGTGGTCAGGGGCCAGGGAATCTTAATTGGAAATGGAAAGCTTGCCCCCAAAGTGAAAATGAGATCTGTCCGTGATGTCTCTGTTGCGTATCCAGGGTTACCCTGCAGGGCCCATGTTCTCAGCCTCATCCCTTCATCCCCCTGGGAAGTTCCACATGCCCAGCCTAGCCTGCTTTCCACTGCTGGTTTGGAGGCATCTTATTTCTGGCTTTTTTTTGTGGGTATAGGGGGGACATTTAGCTTGTTCCTCAGGAATGACCACCTTCGACTTCATTTTCCCAGTGCCCCTGAGTGGAATTACATAGATCCCAGGAGAAAGGAAGAGCTGGACAAGAAGGCTGAGGATGGCGAGTTCTGGTGAGATGCTAATGCTGCTTCATGCCAAGACTGGTCTGGGTGCTGTGTGTGTGTGTGTGTGTGTGTGTGTGTGTGTGGCCAGACTCTAGGACATCCAAAAATGTAACAAGTCCCAGGCATGAGGATTTCCATTCTTCTCTCCCCTGTTCCCTCTCTCTCTCTCTCTCTTTTTTTTGCCCTTCTTGTGACAGGATCTCTTACATCTTTTCTTGCCCTGGTATAATTCTACCCTTCTATTCATGTCTACAATACTGAAAACCAAGTTTCTGGGCACTTATGGTGGCCTAATCATCTACCTACATGCCTTTCTAATGAGCCCAGAATACTACTTCCATTACTTTAGGCCTGAAACTTACCTTACCATCTACCCAGGTTACCTTCTTGTACTAGAGGTGCTCAGGAAGAAGATTCATGGTACATCTTGAACATAGGAAAGCTTAGACCTCTCTAAGCTGGACATGTTTGAGAATCCCAGGACCAGGATTTTCTTTGAGCTTAAATTTAACCCAGCCTAGAGGAAGGGGCTGTATGCATATCACCTCCTGGGGTCTTCTTCAGGTTACAGTTCAGAGATGTGAGGAGGTTTCTGGAGGATCTGGGAAGTTAATCACAGAGGGGGGTTTGGATGATAGTTTCTGCCTGCTTGCGTCATTGGGTGAGAAAAGATTCATTCAAGTCAGCTTTGAGGCTACTCACAGGGTTTTTTCCCGTGTCTCACGGGTGTGCCTTGAGTCATCCTTCTGGCCCAGTTCCCTTGACTGACAGCTTCTGGTTCCTCTGCCCCTTTCCTTTCACCCCCAGGATGTCATTTTCAGACTTCTTGAAGCAATTCTCTCGCCTGGAGATCTGCAACCTGTCTCCAGACTCTCTGAGCAGCGAGGAAGCGCACAAATGGAACCTGGTGCTTTTCAATGGCCGCTGGACTAGGGGCTCCACTGCTGGGGGCTGCCAGAACTACCCAGGTGAGAGAAGGGCTGCCTGGCATGTCCTTTTTGATCTGGGGGACATTGTATGCTACTCTTGAGGCCCCGCTTTCCCTCCCTCCCCTGGCTAGGAGGAAGGACAAGGAGGACGGTTAACCGCTTAAGTCCTGATCTCAGCTCTTGTGTTCAAATCTCCCCTTCTTCACCCACCTACTTCATCCCTACTCCCAAGAAACACGCGTCTTACTAACCCGGCTAACGGCTCCTGTTCTTCCCTTGGCCTGTCTGACCCACCTGGCTGACATCCTCCTGCTGAGCTTGGGGGCAGAGTGGCGGGCAAGTCGAGGGCTAGAGGACAAGGTTGGCTATTTCTACAGTCTGCACCCAGCATGGCAGCCCTTTTACGTTGTGTGCATACCTGAGTCAAGGAAGGAGGGGGTTGGGATGGCACACACAGGGCTCAGTCCTGGGAAGTCTATTTTGGTGCAAGCCTTGGCCTCTGTGCTAACCTTAGCTCATCACCTTATCAAAGGCAAGTAGAGGTCATGAGAAGTCACTAATATGTACCCCAATAGGCTCCTCCTAGGTTGACTCTACTGAGACAGCACCTGAAGAAGCAGTTCCGCGACCCCACGTCTCTCAGGAGGAAGTAAACTGTGCTCTCTCTACTTTCCACCTCCCCATCTCCACACTCTCAGCTGTGGGCTATGTTGATTTCCGTTGTAGATTTGTGTTTCAGACTTGTGTATAGGCAAAGGGCAGGGCCTACCATGCTCTTCTTAGCGCTCGTTCATGGCAGGGCTGTGCTCAGCACTGCAGAAGTTGAATCATCCTGAAATCCTATGTGGGTGCAGGATGAGGTCCCTCTCCACCCCTATCCAGCAGCAGGGAGCAGATTGTGACAGACAGAAATGGGGAGCCTGTGTCCTGCCCTGATACTTAGTTTAGCAGGCTCTGAGACCCAAGAGACATTTCCCTTGCCCAAGCTTCAGTTTCCCGGTCCTCAACACAAGGTACTTAATTCCTACCTTACAGCTCATGGGGTCTCAGTGAGCATGGTAATATGAAGCACATAGGGAAGCACTTTGTAAACTGTGCAGAGTTATACAAATGGGTTGTATTATCTTTATGGCCCATTCTCTTCCTCTGGTACTGTTAAGAAATAAACAAAAAAAATGTAGGGATTGCTGTAATGCAGCATTTGGGAGAAATTAAAATATGCTCATCATTAGCAAGCTCTTGGAAAATGCAGAGGAAATTTGCATGGATCATTCTGGGAGCTCAAAACGGTAGGGGGAGGAGGCCAAGGTACCTGTATGTACCAAATCATAATCCCATCTGTGCTGCCAAGTAGCTGTCAGGAAGAAATGGAATGCTCTTGCCTTTGGGTAACGATGTAAGTACAGAAGATTACCACATTCTCTTGTCTCTCCTGGAATCGGTAGACATTTGGCTTTAATATCCTATACTTGAGCCTTACACTTAAAAAAAGAAATCTGCAAGTGAAGATTCTGGGCAGGTAAAATTGAATAAGCAATCTTATTGTTAACCACCAACTGCCCTTGGTCACCTGTAAATGCGATGGTTATTGCATAGAGTGGAACCCTTATTTAGAAGATGTAAAAAAAAAAACAAAATAAAATAACAACAAAAACAACTCTCCTACCTCCCAAAACGAAAATTTCAATTCCCTTTCCCAACCTTTTCTACCCGCCTTCCCCCCGATCCCCAGCCCCCCCCCACTCCCCACCCGGGCACATCATTATTGAAATTGTTGAGGCCCTGGAAGGGAACAACCTGTTAGGCCTATCTTCTTCCATCAGGCTTTGCTCCTCAACTCTGTCAGAATTGCTGTGTGCCTTCAGCTCTTCCTTCTGACATCTCTGTGTTTCTGCTCTTTGGAGAGATTGTCTTTCAAAGGATGGCATGAAATAAAGGAGCCTTTCCAAAGGTGGTGCAGCAGGAATGCTGCTTCACGATCATTCTGATTTTTCATGCATTATTAAATGACTTGTCTTAAAGGAAATGCGTCTCCTCCTGAGTGTCAAACACTGACATCCTCGTGTGAGGCCCTGGGGCAGTGGACAGAGGATTTGTTCTCAGGGATGCTGGGGTTAGGATCCCAGCTGAAGACTCTCTGAAAGAGAACATATGCCAATCACGTAGCTTTCTAGCCTGTCAACCAGAGGTTTCCTTGGTAGCTAGACTCTCTTGAGATTGTGTCCCTAGGACATGCAATTGCCCTCTTCCTACTTGGTGCTGTCCAGCTGAGAACAGGAACAAATGCCCCATTTTTCTGGGAAGTCTCAGAGGTTACTCCTTATCACAGCTCAGGGTATCCCTGGGCTTATGGGATCTTGAAAAGCTCCAGTCGAGCATGTCTGGGCTCCTGAGTGGTCATTAGGTGGGCAAGTGCTAACTTTCCAAGTGCTATGGGCTGTGTGTGTGTGTGTGTGTGTGTGTGTGTGTGTGTGTGTGTGTATGAGTGACAGGGAGACAGGTAGATCATTTTCCAAGGTCTGCTCAGCAGGCACAGTCTAGCCAGAGATGCTTTTATTAGGATGATTGAGGTTCTTCCCTTCTATTTTTGTTCTTCCCCATCCTCTCTTTCCCCTATGGGGAAATGCATCACCGGGGGACTTCCAGCCACATACTGGACCAATCCTCAGTTCAAAATCCATTTGGATGAGGTGGATGAGGACCAAGAAGAGGGCATCGGTGAACCCCGCTGCACGGTGGTACTTGGTCTGATGCAGAAGAACCGCAGGCGACAGAAGAGGCTGGGGCAGGGCATGCTCAGCATCGGCTATGCTGTCTATCAGGTATTGCTGAGCTGTGTTCCTCCTCTAGAGTGTACTCATGTCTGAAGGCTTTGGCCAGTTATTGGGGTGCATCTTTCCTGTTGCTTGAATACTCCTGATCAAGCATTATCCTTGCTCCTCTAAATTCTTCTCCTAATGGCCATCCTGAGATCTGAATTCCACAATTAGAGAGTCATTCCTTTGATGTGAGTCTCTGCTGTTAACAGTGAGATATGTACAGTTCATTGCATTTTACCTGTCATCAAGAGCTCCATGCAAATGCGTGGAATAGATGACTTTTCAAACAGAGGTGTCTCGGGGGGGACAGGAGCTTTGAGTGATTTGTGGCAATACAAAGTGGGCAAGGGGACTGGGACTGGATATGGGAGCCAAATATACAAGTCTCCATGAACAACCTTGAGGCCCTTGGAATACACAGGGCATCAGATGGGGTGAGGGAAGCCACATAGTCATTTTTGGTCCTGGTGTCTCTGGATTGGGGAACACAAGTAATTCTGCTCTCAGGTTTAAGCCCCTGGCTCAATATGGTAGTTGTTCCTAGTAAGTTCCCACCCAATGACTTGTCTCACAGGTAAGTTATGAGTTAAAGTGAGACCTTCAGGTCTTTACAGCCTAGCCAGGAATATATTTGAGTCTACTTCTTTCTACAGGCAAATACTCATAACAGAGGGTTTCATGGTGAGGTTTTTTTTTAAAGTTTATTAAGAATGAATTTCTTGAGGCAAAAATACAGTTTTAATCAGGAAGCTGGCTGGAGGTTTAACATTTCAGTGTAAATTAATCCCTGAAAAGGAAGCATTGTAATAAGAAATCAAGACAAGCTTCTGCCATCTTCCTTCTGCTCCTTTGCTTATCATAGACTTGAACTCAGGGCTTGAGAAGAAAGAGTGAGTGTGTGTGTGTGTGCATGTGCGTGCACGCACGTGTGTGTGAGTGTGTGTGTTATGTTAAAGAATAGGAGTTGGGGGCCAGGCACTGGTAGCTCACACCTGTAATCATAGTTACTCAGGAGGCTGATATCTGAGAATCATGGTTCGGAGTCAGAAAAATCTATGAGATTCTTCTCTCTACCTACCAATAAAAGCTGGAAATGGAGCTGTGGCTCAAGTGGGAGAGCACTAGCCTTGAGTAAAAAAAAAACTCAAGGACAGTGTCCAGGCCCTGTGTTCAAGTCTCAAGACTGGCACAAAAATAAACAAGAATAGAAATTGGTAAGGAATTTCTACTCCATGGTAGGAAAAAAAATAACAAAATAAATAAGGCCCAATTGTCCAGCTTAGCAATTCCAGTTCTACCTAGTCCAACATAGACTCATAGCTTACAGGCATAAAAACCTGACGTAGACTTTTGTGTATAGATATTACTCTAATCAATTTTACTCAGCACCTACTATGTGCTAGGTGTGGCTCTGGGAGTTAGGGGGGCAGATAAATGTCCTACAGTTACAGTTCGCAGTGTGCTCATGATCAAGATGGGGATATTAGACACACTCACCTGACCACAGGGAAGGCCAGGTCTGCTATGATGAGACAGATATAGGGGCCTGGGTATCTCAGATCCATATGGGAGAGACTTTGACCAGAGATTCAAAAGATGACCAAGGTTTCAAAAGTGGAGGAAGGAAGCAGTCCATCCCAAGGGGGTTCCATGTGTTTCTTGACATTTGAGAGTAGGCGACAGTTTTGGAGTGAGGCAGAGGGCTGGCATGGTAGCTGTGCAGCTGGCTCAGGGACAGTGCACCAGTTCTTCATTCATCATTCTACCTTATGCAGACAGATCAACAAAGCGTTCTTTTGAGATAGCTTTTGTGTGGCATGGTATTTGAGTTCATAAATAATATCTAAAATGTATTAGATTTACAGGCATCAAACTATAGTTACTTATAAAATACTCCAGTGTGTGTGTGTGTGATCTGTGGTCCTTCTTCTGATGGTCAGGAGCCTATAATTCAGAACATGACATCTGTGAATACTAGCTGTTTCAAAGTTAAATTGAGGAAATGAATGTAGCCAGTAGCTGGTGCTGTCAAGAGTAGTTGACGGTATGAGGAGCAGCTTGGGTATAGGGAGTAGCTAAGGTAGTAAGGAGATGTGGGAGTGTAGGAAATAGCTAGAACTGGAGTCTATGGAAGAGCAGGAATTTTAGGGAGAAGCTGGGGTGTAGGGAGTAGCTGGAACAGTGGTGGAGAAGCTGGGATGTGAGGAGTAGCTGGGATTGTAGGCAACAGGACTATAGAGAACATCTGAGCTGTAGGAAACAGATGGGTACAGAGAGCAGCCAGGGTGTAACAAGTTATAGGGGACAGCTAGGGTATAGAAAGAAGCTAAGAAGTAGCGTTATCACACTCATATCCCTATGTCTCCCTCCTCAGCGCTACCTGTCTGGACTTGGAGTCCAGTTGGAAACTGAAAATCTGTCACTGACTGAGAAGCAGCCATGACCTCGGAAAGCTCAAGTGCTCTCCTTGTCTGGCTTCCCTTCTCTCCCCTTTATCTTCCTGTAGTGACAGCAGACTTCTGTCCGGCAGGCAGCCTGTCATTTGCACTTAGGATCCTGCATTTCGTATGTGACTGCCCTTCCCATCTCTCCATGGGCAGTTGCTAAGGCCTGCTTTCCTGCCATTCTGCTCTTGTCTAGTTCCTTGGCGACTCTTGGTAAGGGTGGACTCAGAACATATTGACCACAGGATGGTGGTTGTGCTGTTGATGGAAAGACAGCCAAGGTAGTTAGGTAAGTAGCCGCTGGGCTAGGGAAGGCTTTTAGGCCTGCACGGAGAGGAAGGTTCCTGCCAAGTCTTTGCTTACCCAGCCAGCCAGGTCCTGTGCATGGGTAAATTTGATTTAAACTCAACATTTAGAGGAGTGACAGTGATCTTGGACTGTTCTGTCTCTGCTACAAGGATTCCAGCGGATCTTAACTTCCCTGAATTTAGTTGTTTCTCAGGGTTCTAGGCAGTTTTCCACTGACTTAAACTACCAGCATGCCTTTCCTGTTTTTCGGGTTCAAACAGGCTCTGTGACAGATCAGAGGAGGGAGAAGGACATATATGGTAGGGCTGCCACTCTGCATGTATGAGCTCACCTCTTATAGGAGGCGACATCTCTACTTAAAATAAGAGAGCCTTACTCAAGCTAAGCTAGTGAAGAAGAACTGACTATCTTAGGTAACCAAATTTAAGATCAGGAGAGGGATGATTGGGACAGAGGTCTCACTTGCTACTTGGACTTTCTCCCACATTTCATCACAATTGTCAATGCTACTCTGCTAGTCTAAATTGATTGACCTCCTAATATCACTAGCATGAAAGATGGGCCTCTTTTCTTGAGTTTCAATTTTTTTTCAATGTTAGAGAAGCACCTAATAGGCCCAGCTTGGGTCACATGCCTGTTTTCTGATCACTTACCATGGTCAAAGGTAGAATCAATTATTGGCTCATGTTAAGTGAAATCCCTACCTCTGCTAAGTCCTCCATCTGGGATTTTATTGATTTATAAGAAGACATTAGCTCTTAATTAAACTCCCACTCTGAAGGGATTTTGGATTTTGGAAGATTAGAAAATAAAGAAAAAAAGTAGAGTCTTGCACTCCTGGATCACGGGGACTCAGCAGGCCTTGTAACTCATCAGTGACCTCCTAGTTTCACAAATGTTATTTTCTCTCCTTAGCATGAACTTTCTCTTCACACTTGATTGCAATCTGTCTGCTAGACATGGAGGGATGCACAAGCACAAACGGGGGACCTAAAGCTCTTGGGTAACCTGCTTTTGCCTTCTTACCTGCAGGTTCCGAAAGAGGTATGTGAGTCCTGCACTGAAAGATGTCTTCCCTTGGTAAGAAAGAAGTTGATGGTCTTTGGGACAGGCTCTCTGCACCGTCTGCTTCCTGTGATGGAAGCTGGTTTTCCTATGGACGCTGCATAGTCTGGTGAGCTGGAAGCTCTGACATTTGATGAAGACCAGCCCAAGTTTCATCTATCAGGCCCCAAAGGAGAAGAGCATGTTCCATTGTTTCCCCTACTTATGTTCCTAGTGGTCTGATCTGAACAAGGTGATTAAAACAGTGTAGGCCAACAGAAAAGATGTTCTGATTAGGAAAGGAAGTACCAGTTTTCTCTTCTTGGCTCCTGATTTTTCTTGTGCTCCTCAGCAATGTATGACTGGGTTAGGGAGTCATAGGGTCACTATCCCACTTACATGGTCACACTTACCTGTATCTCAGTTGACTAAAAATGGAGCCTCTCTGGCTCTCCTGAGTAGGGAGCTGCATGGCTGGCCGTAAGTGTACAGCCAACATAAAGTAAAGCCCCAGTGTATGCCAGCCCTGTAGCTATCTCCTTGGCTGCAACCTGGGGGGTATTTAAAATGAATATCAAGTCCAGTCTGTATCCCAGCTCCACTGTAACAAAACCATCAGAGTAGGAGGACCCAGGTATCATAGATCTATAAACAACCCAGATGACTAGTTGTGGCCAGGGTTGAGAACACTGTACTCTGTGGGGCTTCCAGCAACTGGAATCAATTGCACTAAACATTTAGTCATGCATCTGTCCAACTGTAGCCTTTCCCTACGTTTCCAGGTTTCCGTGCTTGGTCAGTGGTATAGCATATGTTAATCGACCCATTTACAGACTTAAGTCTGTACAGTATGCCAAGGCTGTAGGCAACTGGTCTACCTTGCCCTTGTCTCTCAAGTGCATGTTATTATTGAGAGAATATAAGAAAGTATTGTAAGCCAAACCTGGATTCAATCCAGTTCATGGTGGCTTCCATTTCAGAGACTCCATTTATATGAGGGGTTATATGCACACACAGTGGAACTCCAAAAAGCACTTCATGGTGCCCTCAGTGTGTCCCTGTAGGTTCTGTTTTGCTATCATCAGGGCTGGGAGGAGTGGGAGGAGAAAGATGGTCTTGCTTTCCTTCTCTTATCAGTAGACCTATGAGCCAAAGAGGGTCTGGTGATCACATGTGGACAGTGAACACTTTAGGATGGGAATTCCATCTCCAGGCCCCAAAGAAGTCATGGCTTGACAGCTTGGCAGCACCTGTCATAGGCATCGTGATGGAGATGGATGGTAGGGATATTGTACTACAGGGAGGCCTCATTATAGCCATAACAATGTGGCCACCTGTGTTTTTAAAGCCTGCTGCAATCACTAATTAGCCTGTGTCCCACGCCAGTAGCTTCCTCTTTTCCCACAAGTAGATGAGTGATGGGGTCATCTTCCCCCTTTTTCAGAGGGGAGTCAAGGCCCTGAGAGAGGCCTTGATCTGGACCTGACTATGGCTTCCTCCTTTGCTTATCTCCTCCTGAGCTGCTGCCTGCCTCCTTCAGAGCAGCTTAACCACTTTGGTTACCTTTCGGAGCAAGTTACCTTTCTGAGGCTTTTGCAGGAGATTGACAGTCATTTCACCAGGCTTAGGTCTGTACTGAGAAGGTCAATATTATAACTGTAGGGACAGCTGCAGCTTAAGAGTCTGTTGAAATCATGAGGAAAATATCTAAAGAGAAACAACCCATATTAGAGCTCTGGGCTCAACCCTTCATTTAACTGGGAAGGCAAAGGGTCTGGCTGAAGCTACATGTCAAGGTCAGTGCCTCAAAAATGCTCAAAAGACACTTGATGACTGACATAGTGATTTCATGGGAGAAGCCAAGGCCTCTTGATTGTTGGAATGGTGGTAACAATGAATGATCCCTAAATAAACAGAAAAAAATAGGAATGCTTGGTGTTTACCATTTGGGGTGTGGGGAGAAATTGATCTGCCTTTTCCTTTGTGCAGCTGGAGAGTCACACAGATGTTCACCTGGGCTGGGACTTCTTCCTGGGCCACCAGCCCTCTACCCGTTCCAGCACCTACATCAACCTGCGGGAGGTATCGGGCAGGGCCCAGCTGCCACCTGGGCAGTATCTGGTGGTGCCATCTACCTTTGAACCCTTCAAGGATGGTGACTTCTGCTTGAGGGTCTTCTCGGAGAAGAAGGCAAAGGCCCTGTGCGTCAACTTTCACTCTGTTATTAGGGATGGTTGTTGAGTTCAGAGAGAGCAGAGGGAAATGGCCAGATGGAGGTACTAGGCCCTGTCCCTGAGTGACTGGCCCCTGGCTTGTAGCTGATTTGTCCAGGGGAAGCTTATGAAACACCACAGGTCCCCCATCCCTTCCCTGCTACCCCCTTCACTTTGTTCTGTAGTTCATTAAGGAAGCTCCTTACATAAAAAGCCACGGCTGGGAAAAAAGGCATGGAGATCCACTTGGTTAGAAGGGGTCCACCATCCAGCAGGGGGCACAAGAGCCAGAAAACAGGGTCTAGGGGAGGTACTGACCACCTTCCCTCACACACACCCCACTAGTACTGTCACATACACTGCACACCAGGAACACACCACACCACACACATCATGCACACCACACACATCATACATACCACCCGTGGAACACACTACACATACAACACACACCACATGCAACAAACTCATATACAATATATACTGTGTAACCACATATAAGCAATATACACACACCACACAATATACATCTCCAATGTACATCATGCACAGATATTACATGTCCCACACACTACCACATACCACACATACCACATACTACACTCCATACATATATATATATATATACACATATATACCACAAACATACTGTAATACACACCACATACCTTACATAGTATACTTATACATACTCATAAATGTTATATATACCTCCATACCACACAAACACATACACCAGATGCATCACACACTACTCAGTTGCCATGTAGGTTCTAGAATATCATCTACCCCACCATATATCCTCTCTCCCATTCTACACACACTGCATACTGCATATGCACAGCAGCACACACTATACATCCACGTGTTTAAGAGCTAAGTTGTGTGCTGGCTTATTCTCGGGAGGGCCATTTCCACAGGGGTTCTTGTAGTAAGGTTCTCAGGGAAAGAGAAGTGGCAACTGAGGTAAGTGGTGAGAAGATTCCCCAGAGTTTGGCAAGCTAAACATTCTAGAACTCACTGGAACTCTATTGCCCTTGAAGCTTTTGTCTCTGATGAAAAATTCAGATCGAGGTGAGAGCTGGGGAGTGAAGGGAGGGAGTCCGTTCATGCAGGTTTTAGGAACTGAACATCTTGGGTGAGCAGGTCAGTTCCTAGTATGGTCAAAAACTTCCAGAAACACTATGTCATTGGCTGAACTTTTTATTGCCTCATGTCTGGTTTATTTCTTTCTTCACATTTCAGGGAAATTGGAAATGTTGTAGCTGGAGACCCACATGAGGTATGCAGTCTTTTAGTATGGCCAGCTCTGACACTGTTGTATGGTAGCTCTTTTGGGTTCCTTTTTTAATGTATTTGAGGTCTTTATATATTAAGGGATGGTAACATTTTATCTGTCAGATCACATTATTTTCTAGGCCTTGGCTCTTCCTGATGAAGATGAGCTAGAATCAGTACTGGAATGCAACTTGTGTAATGCATCCTCACCCTTGGAGGAGAAGAGAACTTAGCATCTCCCACAGCTAGTCAGGAAACCCACATAGAAAGCACTCACGGTGTGCTTGAGTGTCCAGGGTAGGATAATCAGTGGGGGAAAGAGATACAGTATTTGGATTGATCTCCAGTCTTTTTGAGAACAAACAATAAGAGCATATGAGAAAAAAAAGAGGAAAGCCACACATTTCCTAAGCCTGTGTGTGTGTGTAGTTCTAGGAGTGTTGTCTTTTTCTTCTGGTGATGTGTGAAGCTTCTGCATATTGTTGCCACACTGTGTCCAGACAGCAGGCTGTGGCACAGGACTCAGGAATATGGAAGGACTATCTTTTTATGGAGTTCAGGCCTGAGATCCCTCTACTGTCTACCCAAATAGACTGGTGTATCTCTGGATGAAGATGCCACACAAAGCACCCCAGTGGCTGAGCTTATAGTTACATTAAATAGTTGCTTATGTTAGTAAGCAGCCTCGGGCAATCTTGTGCCTTTCAGATGTCTCTTAGGGATGATTTTGGAAGAACTTGACCCAGGTTTCTGGAAACTCTTTGAGCCATCTGGGGAGCTGTGACTTTTTTGTCCTCTCTGGTGGTGGCAGTTGCAGGGGTAGGGGGAGAAATGGCTTTATTTTGGCTGAAGTCCCTTGTTATATCAACAAGCCTCTGGCTAAAAGCACCTGTGTAACGGTTTCTAAAGACTTTGACACAGATTTGCTCTCATTTGATGTTCAAAATGACCCAACGAAATAGGTCTAGTTAATTTTAATATTAGATTTAAGGCAATGGATATTTAGAGTCCTTGGGAATCCAATGAGTGGCTACTCTGCTATATCAGCCCTGATTCTAGTTATGCATCTGTATTCTTAGCTACTTTTTAAAATCATGTGGTTCTTTGAGAATTTGATACAAGCTAGGGGAACGCATATAAACATGACCCCAGATTTTCATGCAATTTCTGGAGCTCATGGACTTTGTGAAGGTCATTGGTAGGAAGTCTACGGAGCCGGACTTGAGACACCTTCGTGTTGATGTTTCTATTGTTCTCTGAAAGTGATTCAGGGTTGAAATTAGAAACATGGAGGTGGTAGGGCTCATTTCCCCTCACATTCATAGAGGAACCCAGCCCTGGAACTGTATCCCTGCTGGATTATAAGACTCCAGGCTGGGACCTTGGATAGCTCTTGCCTTCCCGCCTAAGCCTCCATGTAGCCTCTAGTACAGGGCCCAATAGATCCTAATGGATGGTTGGATGAAGTGTGAGTCTTTTATTTAACAATTCCTATTTTAACTTTGTCCCTGCCCTTTCTCCTAGCCACATGCCAGTGAGGTGGATCAAGGAGATGAGCAGTTCTGGAGCCTGTTTGAGGAGTTGGCAGGGAAGGTGAGCGGAGGGTGGACAGCTGCAGCTTCCATACTGGGCCAGAGCACACTCAGGCCGTGGCCGCCTGTATTCCCTTCCATCTCATGGACTACTGAGGGGGAGGCTGCTTTCTCTACCTTCCCCACGTTGGTGCCTGCCATTTGTCACTGCATCCTGTCTGAAGATAGCGGGCCTTTCCTGCCCCTCTGGGAGACAGTAATCATCACCCTGAAGCCACTTTTCTTGCTGCGTTGACTGACTTGAGAAAATAGAAAAGCCGAATTTCTGGATCCTGCCAGAAGCCTTTCTGTTTGTAAATTGGCCCTGATAGATGGAGCCTCTGACTAGAAAGCCAGGGCAGCGAAAGCTCTCTAAATCGATATCCTTCAGAGGTGGAATTGCCCAGCATTAGCGGACGGCAGCTCAGTTAACCTGGCAAGGGATTGGAAAGGCACCTGGGCTGGATACGTGCCTGTGTAGCTCACCCTGAGGAATCCTAGGCCTGGGTATAAGCCCACAACCTGGGTACTGGGAGCTGCCTGTTGCTCCTCCATCCCCTGGCCTGCTGATTGCGTTTCATTTTGGTAGCCATGTGCCAGAGTTCACCCAGGACTCAATGTATCTCTTCTGGCCCCAGAAATATTGACTGGTGTTGCTTTTGGGCCGGGGAGATAGAGGTTGATAAAGAGCCAAAAAGGACCCTGAAGAGGGTCTACTCCCCAGGGAAGCTCTGGGGAACTTTCTAGACTTAAGGCTGACATAGAAGCGGGTAGAGTGGTGTATATCTATAGTTCCCACTACTGGAGAGATTGAGGCAGAAAGCTTACTTGAACCTCAAGGCCAGCCTAGCTAATATGATAAGACCTTGATCAAAAAGAAAAATAAAAGGAGAGCAATAGAAGCATATCTATCAAAAACCTTTGCAGAAAAGAGAGCCCTTGAACAATTCTTCTGCACTACCAGTCAGTTGAGAGAGCACCCGAAAACACGAGTCAGTGTGTTTTACTAGGTGAAGGCGCAGGCCAGTGCTTTTGCTAATAAAGCCTTGTCTCCTCAGCTGAACAAGGGACTGTATTTTATTTAGCACTCCCCAACGATAGAAAAGTAAAATTCCTATTGGTGGCCGGTGGCTGAAGCTCACCTTGCTTTTCTATTGCTCCTTACTGCGGAGAAGACAGCACCGGTCACCTTGGAGCTCTGCTCTTGAAGTGACAGGGCACAGAGGAGTTGAAGAGCTGGCCAAGGGCACCCAGCCTTGAGAGGGTCAGGGCTAAGGTACAGATGTCCCCTTACTATCTCAACTTCTTTCCTGGAAGACACAAATACCCTGTACCAGAGGTTTCCCAGAGGGACCTTGGCTGTTATGATAGGTGTTATGACCAACCTGTGCCCGAATGAGGCCAGGGGTTCTTGCAAGAGATGGGTCTGGGTGCAGCTCTGGTCTCTGTCAGTGCTGGGTACTGGCAGGATGAGAGAATGGGGAGAGACTAGACCAAGGCCAAGGGTGAGTAAGGGGTGGAGTGCAGATTGGAGCCCAGCTCAATCCAGTGCTCCTTCTCTGCACCTCATTCGCCATTTGGCCTGAAGGCCATCTTCTGTTTAGGGGCAGGGCATGGATATTCTCTCAGGGTTGGGGTGGGTGTTTATCCCCAATACATATGGGCTCTCCTACCCCTCTCCAAGCCTCCACCCCAGTCTGGAGTAGGCTCCTGTACGGAATAGCAACCCCCATAGGTGCAGTGGGAAAATCTGGCATTCTGGAGTGAGATGTCACAGCTCTGCACTTGGTAGCTAGGAACCCGAGTCATCATATCAGGGAAATGGCAGGTGACACGGCAAAGGTATGAAGCGTTTCCCAGTTTGCCCGTCATCCTTCATCTGCAGTAGCTCTCGTGCAGAGGTGTATGAAGGATTTACACTGAATGTGTGGCATACCTGGGATGGCTCCAATTATTGCTATTTGTTGAAATTTGTTCTCTGAGCAAAATCCCATGTGAGAAAGCCCAGGGCAGGCTCCTGTGCTGCTGGACACTGAATTCATGGCATCAGGGCACTACAGACCTCAGAAGAAACAGAGAATTTGAATTTTTCAAGGTGCCATATGCCTTTTCCTTCCTTCCTTTTCCCTACCCCCCCTCCATCTCCTTCCCTCCCACTCTCTTTTCTTTTTACTCCTTTTTTCTGCCTTCTTCCCTCCTTTCCTTTCCTTTCTTTTCCTTTCCTTTCCTTTCCTTTCCTTTCCTTTCTCCTTCTCTCCCTCCCTCTCCCTCCTTCCTTCCCTTTCTCTCTTTCTGCTTTTTCTCTTTCCCTTTCCATGATACTAGGAATTGAACCCAGGGTCATGTGCACACTAGGCAAACACTTTACCCCTTGAGTCATACCCCCAGCCCAAGATGTCACATGCTTTTAAAGTCACAGGGCCAGTGGGCATGGTATCTGAGAGTGGAGGAAGTACTGTATTAATATCTTGGAGTAGCTGTGTGGCCGGGGACAGGCAAGGTGAAGTCCTGACATGTTTGCATTTGGGTTCCTTTTTCTAGGAGTCTGAAATTGGTGCCAATCAGCTCAAGAGAGTTCTGAATGACGTGTTATTCAAACGTAAGTCCCCCAAGGGCCTCTCAGAAAGCTGACAGGCATCTTTGAGAGATGATGGGGTGAAGCTGAACAAGGGGGCAACTGAAGTTGTCAAAAGCACTCAGGTGAGAAGTAGCTTTGGCCTCTGACACCAAGAGTCCTCATTCTGGCCTGCAAAGCAGGAGAGGCCATGAAAGGGGTGCTGGGCAGCAGTTAGGGTGGCACTGGAGACAAGCCGGACTGCCTACTACCAAGAAACCATGATTTAAAATGTAGCCTTCTTAGGGGAGTAATGAAACTAGGCTAAAGATGACTTGTGTAAGGCTTTCATACAAAAGGACTAGTGTCAATTGTGAAGGAACCTCTGCAGGTCGCAGGTCTGTAGTTCTTTAGGGAGGTGAGGTGGGAGGGATGATTGACTGTCTTGGCTTGTACTTGGCTCCCAAAGTCTTCAGACTCCAGCAAGCCTCAGGGGCTACCTGGGGGTCAAACTGCCCCCCTGAGGAAGGCTTTATACTTCCTCTTCAAGCCTTAGTGCCAAGCTGCTTTTGCTTCTGGTACAGGGATGGGCCAGGTTCAGTCCTCCAGTTCCCCAGACTGTCATTCACCTACTGCAGCAGGTCCTGGAGTGACAATATGGGAAATGGGCATGGCCTAATTTCCCCCCTTTGAAGCTGGACACATGGTTGGGTAGCCCTCGGGAGTTCTGAGTCTTGGGCCTGACCCAGGACCACTCTTCATCTTCTGCTTTTCTCTTGGTCCTTGTTGACAAGAAGAACAGAGCAAATGGGAGAGGGCCGCAGTATCTTTGGTACCTACCTTGGTTCCTAGGTGTACAGAAGGTAAGGGTTGAGGCCAGGGCTGACTAGAATTCCAGGGAGATACCTGAAATTTAGCAAATAAGGATGACAGCTGTCATAGAGCTAGTGTGTGTTGTGAAAAGCACAGATGTGGAGGCTCATGGCTTATGCTGAATCCCAGCTTTGTCCATTACTGGTGATGGGACCTTGAGCTAATAAGGTGACCTCCTTGGATCTTGGACACTAGTAGCATCTGTCAAATGAACTTATTCTGAAAAGTAGATATACAAGGCTTAGGACAGTGCTTTGTTCAATACAAGTTGCCTGTTTTATAAAGACTTTATCATGTACTGGGCTAAGACTTCATGTGTATTGTCTCAATTAAATCCCAACTAGTCAGTCCTCAGGGAAAATATTGACACTATTGTTATTTTTATTCTCATTTAGATAGAAATGGAAACTAAGGTTCAGAAATATTAATTCTCCAAGGCTGTGTTCCTAAGCAGCAAAGCGAAGGCTCAGAGGTTGAACTGCTATGCTGGTACTTGTCCATGCCATATCTGGGGCACTAGGAAACTGGTAATGTCTGCCCTGAGCTTGCCATAGTGCTCTTCCTTTTGAGTAGAGTCATGTTCTCTTAGATGCTTTCCTATTGTAGAAATCATCTTTTTCCTCTATCTTCAAACAATTCTGATTCACATGTTCTTTTGTACTTGAATGTCCAGGAACAGACATAAAATTTGATGGATTCAGTATCAACACTTGCTGGGAAATGATCAGTCTGTTGGATGTATCCTTTAAATGTGTGTGTGTGTGTGTGTGTGTGTGTGTGTGTGTGTGTGAGTCATGGGGTTTGAATTCTGGGCCTGGGTGCTGTCCCTGAGCTCTTCAGCTCAAGGCAAGTGCTCTACTACTTGAGCCACAGTACTACTTAGGTCTTCTGGTGGTTAATTGGTGATAAGAGTCTCACGGACTTTTTTGCTTGGGCTGGCTTTGAACTGTGATCCTCAGATCTCAGCCTCCTGAGTAGCTAGGATTTCAGGCATGAGCCTCTGGTACCTGAGAAAGCTGGAGAGAAAAGGGGGAGAATGTGAGAAGGGAAAGAAACAATTATTGAGCATATATCAGGAATCATACCCTTATTTTACAGGAGAGAAAATGAAGCCTGCCATGTTTAAGTGGCTTGTCTAAAGTCAGATCATTTTGAGAGAGCAAGCATGCAGCCTTTGTATTCTTCCTTCTCTATACTGTTAGTCCCAGTGATCCTCCTGCTAAGAACCACCCTCACCATCCACCCTTTTCCCTCAGCCCCTTCTGACTCTCCTCTGCTGTCTGGCCTTTGTTTCAGAATCTTAGCATGGACCTTGGACAACTATCATCAATAATTTAGAATGACCACATGTGATAAAACATGTCCATTCTTTCTGATCTAATTTAATTCTTCTTTCCTGCCGAAACATGGCCATTTAGTTTGCTCTGCTTTCTATAACAGAGTACCATTAAATACATGGCTTGCATGTAGAAAAATATTTATTCCTTACAGTTTTAGAGGCTAGGATGTCTAGGATCAAGGCATGGACATATTTTGTACCTGCTTCCTCGTTCATGGCTACAACTTTCCAAGGTGAAAGGGTCAAGGGAGTTCTCTGGGGTCCCTTTTATAAGGACACAATTCCATCCACAAAGATTTCACTCTTGATCCAATTACTTCTCAAGGGGTCCAACCCCTAACACTCTCACATTGTGATTAGGGGTCAACATATGAAAGTAGGAAGATATAAAACAGTCTGTAGCAATAGGTAAGAGTTTTTGAGAGGAATGAAGAACCTTGCCATCACCCTACTCATGAGTGAGGACCTGGAGGAATTTGTGTCTCTCATGGCTCTAAGAGGGTTGTGATGATACCTCTAAGGAGATTTTGTTTCACAGTGGAGATAGTAAGGGGCAGTGACTCAGAGTCATACTATGCAGCAGAACAAATTTCCTTAAGATATAATTCCTATACCAAGTAATGTACCTACCTGAAGTGTACAATTCATTGCTTTTCTTGGTAAGGACATTTTCATCATCCCAGAAAGAAACCCTGTATTTATATTACCAGTCTTCCTTCATCTTCCCCATCCCTTGGAAACTACTTTCTATCTCTCTATATTTTTCTTTTATTTTCTTTTTTGCAGGTTCTAGGTCTTGAATTCAGGGCCTGGGTGCTATTCCTGAGATTCCTTTGCTCAAGTCTAGCATACTACCACAACTCTATTTCTGGCTTTTTTGGTAGATTAATGAAGATAGGAATCTCATAGACTTTACTCCCTGGGCTGGTTTTGAACCTCAATCCTCAGATCTCAGCTTTTTGAATAGCTAGGATTACAGGTATGAGCCACCAGTGCCTGGCCTCTATATACTTTTCTATTATGAACACCATATAAGTAGACTCCTACTACAAGTGGTCCTTTATGACTGGATTCTTTCATGAATGATGTTGCAAGTACTATGGCATGCATCAATTATTCGTCACCCATGGAGACTGAAAGTACATTTGCCTATATTTCTGTCCTAAAGACTCTGATCCAACAGGTCTGTTCTCTGTGGGCAATATTATCTGGAAATGAAGACCACAGGTATTCTGACATGAGGACTTTGGAAGACACAGAGGTCCAAATACTGACTCCATTACTTATTAAGTGTATAAATTAGGGGAAGCTAATCAATGCTTCGAATATACTTCTTCTCCTGGAATGGAATAACAATATCTACCCTGTGTGACTTTCATGAAAATGAGATGCTGGAATTTGACATAGAATTATTTAATGTGCTGTAACATGCTTGCCTTTATTGATTAGTTGATGGCTGAGAAAAGGGTAGCATTTCAAAGTGACTTAGCTTTATGAGGGTAAGGATAGTTCAAAACCAAATCCCTACAGTTATCCCAGAGAAGAATAAATATTCATGCAGAAAACAAGCAGGACATGGAAAATTCAACATGACCCTTCCATTAATTTTGTTTTTATTATGTCCTATGAGTAAGCCATGTGGCTGACAATCTCTCTTGCTTCCTCCTGTTGATTTTCCTGGTAACAGTGGACCTTCCATCAAAGTGTCATTATTGAATAGTCAGTCACAGAAACAAAAATGAATTTACAGGTCATGTAGCTCCAGCCATTCTATCACCCAAGATGATGAAGGCATTCAATATGAATTAATGATATTGCTCAGTCTTTAGGCTGGTAACTTGTCTTTTAGTCCCTACTCCTGTGCTTGGCCTCCAAAGGAGAGTCTTATTGCGCATTTGACTTTTTACCTTTATTTGAATTTGTTTCCCACCATCCACTCCTATTACCCTGCTTGCTGCAGGCATGGAATGTTTACTAAGACCTTAAGGGACTCATGAAAACTCACAAGAGAAAGACGTCCATGAAACTTGTGTAGATTTTGGGTTCCATCATACTGATCCTTAACGTACTTAGAGCAATGGGACAGGTACCTTGGGACCTGTGGAATTCAAGACACTCTGGCTGAAGATTCAGAAGTATCTGGTAATTGTATTTTCCCCCATGTGCATCCATCAAGCCTTGGCCCCTCTCCTCCATTCTAATTCTCTATGACACTCATTCATAGCCTATTTCAGTCACTAATCTAATCAGACCCATAATTATAGTCAACCCCATCAAAACCTGTATACATTGCTCAGGGAGGAACAAGAAGGTAATGAGCGATACTGTTGCCAGCTCCTGCACTGAAAGCCCCATTCAGAGGACAAAGGAATCACAGAAAATCTCAGCCCAAGCTCTCTTCTTTATTATGGAATATATCTGGAAAGTGTCAGTGAAGTCTACTTTGAGTTTATCCCTGGACTTCTGAGGGAAGCAAAGTGGAGAGAAATAGTGTCTGGGGCTACAAGCTACTGTTTCTCATCTAGAATTTCTCTCTGGCTTTAGGAGATCTATAAGGAAATGGATTACAACCACTTAGGGACCATCAATGCCCATGAGATGAGGACAGCCCTCAAGATGTCAGGTGAGGACATGTCCTGTTGTCAAGGTGTCAGGACCCAGAAGTGCTCATTTAACATAGTTCTTCTCATGATGATGACTGCTAATGATTGTCAGTGGGAGTTCCCTCATATTGGATACGTGAGTTAGCAACAACATTTTATTGAAAAGATGAGTGGATAAAAAGTTGTGACACACATACACACACTCAATTGTATATATATATATATATATATATATATATGTGTGTGTGTGTGTGTGTGTGTGTGTGTGTGTGTGTATATCCATATTATACACATTTATACTCAATTGTCCATATATACATAATAGAGTATTATTCAGCCATAAACAGCAGCAAAATTATGTCATTACAGGAAAATGGATGGAATTGGAGAAGATCATTACATTAAGAGAAGTAAGCCAGACACAGAAAGACAAATGTTGTATTCTTTCTCCTATATGCAGAAACAAGATTTTTTTTTAATACATGAAAATGGAAGGGGGTCTATAAGGGAAAAAGAAGGAAATGACTTGCAGGAAGAAGATGAATAAGAGAGGGTGATAAGAAGGTGACTATGATCAAAGTACATTATATACATGCATAAAAATGTCACAATAAAACTATTGTTTCTGCAAATTAGCACTAATAAAAATAAGGAAAAGGTGAGTAAAGATGAGCAGATTTAAAGAAGGAAAAGGAAAGAAATACCTCAATAAGCTATTTCTGCAAATTAGCACTAATAAAAATAAGGAAAAGGTGAGTAAAGATGAGCAGATTTAAAGAAGGAAAAGGAAAGAAAGATGGAAGGATGGAAGGAGGAAGGGAAGGAAGGAAGGAGGAAAGGAAGGAAGAAGGGAGGGAAGGAAAGAGAGAAGGAAGGAAGGAAAGAAGGGCGAGCTTTATTGAGCTCTGTATCTACTCAGGAAAGATAGGAAGCTACTGGATCCTCTGTAACATAGTATTTTAGGATAAGCACTCTGCCTTACTGAGAAGGTGACAGCAGTTACAGAGGTGGGTCTCTGAAGGGGCCAAGCAAGGCCCAATGAACATATAGGCCTTTGCCTTCTCTACTTTTACTTGCTGTGGCCACTGTGGGCAGGGCTGAATCAGGGCTGGTGCTGGGTCAGAGATAAGCTGGTGGGGCATAGATAAGAAGAGAGACCAGAAAACAGGACAACTTCTGTGAACCCCATAGCTAGGCCCTGTTTATAGATTTATATAGAGTCACAGAAGTCCCCTGCTATGTGAGTCCCTTGAGGTGTCATTGGGGACAGTGCTGAGTCCTCTACACTGCCTGTGACCCTGGTCCTCTTTGTCTCAGGTTTCACCCTCAACAACGAGGTACAGCAGACCATTGCCATGCGCTATGCATGCAGCAAGCTCCTCATCGACTTTGATGGCTTCATTGCTTGCATGATCCGTCTGGAGACCCTCTTCAGTAAGCCAATGTTTTCTTTATCCTCACCCTGCAAAATGTCAGAGTGGTGGGGGGTAGGGCCAGCAGCCTGGACCAGACATTGCCTTTGGGAGGCCCAGAATCCAAAGAACAATAGATGGGATTCTGGGGGGCAAGTTGGGGCAGTGGGAGGCTGAGGAAAGCTGAGGCTGCTTTGTGTTCGAGATTTGGAACACAGCTGAGCAGATTACAGAGCGCTTGCTGTGTGCAGTTACTAGGCCAGGGTGAATGAGCCCCATGCTGTCCTTGCAGGCTGTTAGTGTCTATTTGCATTGGTGCTGCCATGAAGCTCTATTTAGAACTTATCCATGCTTGGGGAAGGGCTAGGACATTGTCTGGAAAGCAATAGGTGTTCACCTTCCATCTTAGGATGCTTAGAATCAACAATAGCTTATTGAGGGAAGAGGTTTCATTTCCTTCTTTAAATCTGCTCATCTTTATTCACCTTTTCCTTATTTTTATTAGTGAAACGAATCAACAATAGCTTATTGAGGGAAGGGGTTTCATTTTATGGGAGGGAAGAGATCAGGTAGGAAGAGACAGAGCTAGGGACTGGATTATCCTTACTCCATCCTCCATCAAAATAGTTGCAAGTTATGCCCAGGAAGCCAGTGGAGGTGGAGAGACCAAAGGGACCATATGTGCTGACAACTGGATTGTTCCATTTAAGTGTATGTTGTAGGGGGTAGGGGTTCAGGGAGGTAATGTCAGCTGCCACAAAACCTCACCCTGGCTGCTAGATCTAGATCTTGCTGTCTTAGGCCCCAGGGGCCAAGGAAGAGCTGGAGTGAGGAAGGGCACATTAAGAGAAATGGGAGGGTCCCAGGTGGGGATGGGTGGGCAGAGGTAGCTTCCCAATTGTTCCAAAGTCCAGGAACTTATCTGATTAATTTCTTTCCTTCTCGGGTGTTTCAGAACTGTTCAAGCTTTTGGACAAAGACCAGGATGGCATTGTTCAGCTCTCTCTAGCTGAGGTAAATGACCAGAAGTTCGATAAATTGCTTCAAGATTCTTGGAATTTATAGGTGCTAAGCCTTGTTTCTTCCTATTAACTATCTTATTTCAGTGTAAATACCATGCTTGTAGGTAGGCTGGGGTGGGAAGGGATTATGTGATTGTCTTTCAGGCAGCCTGTCGAACATTTTATTTATTACTATCATAAGCTAGGCTATAGCTATGTTTGAAATAATATCAATGATGCAAGCCTCCGTTCATTTGGATGGAATTGCAGGGAGTCAGTGTGATTTGAAATGTCTGACTTCTAGGAGCAGGTGTCTTGGGTTGACATGTAGATGAATGTAGGAAACAAAATAATGAAATTGCAATAAGTAGAATGAGGATACAAAGGGAAGGAGTGCTTTGACTGTGTACAGTCACATAATGCTATACATAGAGAGCACACAGTCATTTCTCTGTGGAGGGCTGTAGCTCTAGACAGTAGAGGCCACAGTGACTGGAGGGGGCAGCAGGAGGCAGGGACATGTACCATGGGTCCAGCTCAGGGAAGAGACATTGGCCTTTGATTTACTTCTGAAGCAAGGGAGCTAGAGGACCAGATTATTGCTAGCCCTACCAGGCTGTCTGAACTCAACCATTTTCTTTCTTTCTCTTGAATGGTGGTGTTATTGATCCCCTTTCTGTGATCTAAGAAATACTTTTCTAGGATCCTATCTGTAGGCTACTACAGACATCTCAACAATAGTGTGGAACCTAAAATTAGTGTATATGTAGAATATATACATATCTAGGAATATATATATGCATCTACATGAAATGTTGATTGTCTATAAGAATATGTACACATATAAGAAATATATATGAGAATATAGGCAAAGATATATTAGAATATAAGACTACATATGCATATAGATATAAATATATATGTATATGAATACAATTGTCCTTCAGTATCTACATAGAATGGTTTCCAAGACTTTCCTCAGACATCAAAATCCACAGATACTCAAGTCCTTTATATAAAATGACATAGTATTTGCATATAACCTACATACATCCTCCTGTGGCTTATTTATAATACCTAATACAATGTTAATGCTATGCAAATAGTTGTTACACTGTATTGTTTAGTGAATAAATGACAAGAAAAAAGACCTGTTCCAATTCAGTACAGATACAATTGTTTCACGGAATGTTTTCAACCTGTGACAGTCTACATGCACAGATGAGGGACTTGTGGGGGTTTGGGGTCAACTGTATACACGCATCTAATTTTGGAAACCCCTTTTGGGTCTCGATTTTTTTCTAAGTCACATTTCAGTGCTGCTCTGGCTTAGGAACTAGTGACTTCAGTCATGCATGTGACTTGCTATGGTGAAGCAAGGCACTTACTGGAGGATGGAAATATGAAAAGTGATACCACAGGACAGGAGGCTGTGTATGGGGAGAGCATCCCTGCGGTCTAGAAGCTACCACCAACTCGCTTGTCTCTCTTTTCCAGTGGCTGTGCTGCGTGTTGGTCTGACCAGTGTTTTGGACATCAACAACATTCTCCACCACCTCGCTTGACTCTTTCCCCCCTTTCTTTATAGTCTTATGAGCAATGATCCTCAATTGGCAACGACTAGTTATTCATATGGTTCCAGCCTATCAGTGTTCCCAGAGACACTGGCCTGGTCTGTGCAAGCAGGCTAGGAAGCCTGACTCATGTAATTGTAATTCCTCTGTTCATCACCTTAATAACAATAAAGTAAATTTTAAAAAGCGAAAGAGAAAAATGCATTGAGGAGACCTAACCCAGGAAACAGTGCAGTCTCTCCAGCATATCTTAAATGTGTTCAGAGTGCTTACATTAGCATACAGTCAGGCAAAGTCACTGGACACAAACCTGTTTGAGAGCGGCAGTGAATATCTCATGGAACTTATTGAATGTTTGTGTCCAAGAATCACAGGGAACACTGTATTTTGGAGTCTTGGCTATGATTGGGTGACTGGGAAGAAGTTGAGGCTTATCCCTGTTGCTCAGTGACACTAGAGACTATTACAGCTAGCTGAGGAAAAGATCCAAATCCGAGACGAGGTATGCTTCCTATTGCATGTGTTGCTTTCACAATATTAGTAAGTCAAAAATGTAAAAGGAACCATCCTAACGGGGGAGCCCCCTGTATTAGAATCAATATACAACCCGTAGTTTTGTGTTATTTTAAATCTACTTTAGGTAATAATTTAATGATAAAATATCGTATTACAGAAATGGCATTGCTTTGTGTGTGGGGGGGGAGAGGGTATGTCTTAGAATCCAGGGGAAAATTGTTCTACACACTCCTTTCCAATACAGCCATAGAGTAGGCTGAAGACCCCAGAACTACAGGGTTTCCTTTAAACAATCCTAGTTTGCTTTTACTTCCATTTCCTGCTCTTTTCCCACATTAAGAGATGGTGCTTTTAGGCACAATTTATTCCTTACCCCTTGTATTGTCAACTTCCTGTCACTACAATGAAATGCATGAGACAATACATTTAGAAAGATGAGACGTTCATTTAGATCATGAGTCTAGAGGTTGTAAAGACCAGAGAGTCTCCCATTATCTTTGGACCCCTGGTGAGAACGGAACACCATGGTGGAGGTACATGATAGAGCAAACCAATTACATCTGAGCCAGGACACAGAGAGGATGCGTGTGTGTATGGGAGAGGGGAATCCCACAGTCCTTTTCTTTATAAGTTTGTGTGTGTGTGTGTGTGTGTGCTAATCCTGGGGTTTGAACTCAGGCCGTGGGCACTGTACCTGAGCATTTTTGCTCAAGCCTAGTGCTTTGTCACTTTAGTGCTACTTTTGGCTTCTTGGTGATTCATTAGAGATAAAAGTCTTAATGAGGGAGGAGGTGACACTGTTCAAAAGGAAATGTATTCATTACCTGAAACATGTAACTGTAACCCCTCTGTATATCACCAATAAAAAATTTTTAAGAGGCTTACAGACTTTCCTGCCTGGACTAACTTCAAACAGTGATCCTCAGATCTCAGCATCCTGAGTAGCTAGGATTATAGTCATGAGCTAATCATAATGTATATAATATATATACTAATAAAAAAGAATTTCCATTTCTATTTTAGGCATATATTAACTGTACAATGTAAAGGGTTTCTTTGGGATATTCCCATACTTTTTTTTGGGGGGGGTCATGGGGCCTGAACTCTGGGCCTGGGCACTGTCCCTCAGCTCTTCAGCTCAAGGCTAGCGCTCTACCACTGGAGCCACAGCGCCACTTCTGGCTTTTTTCTTTTTGCTTATGTGGTGCTGAGGAATCGAATCCAGGGCCTCATGCATGTAAGGCAAGCGGTCTACCACTGAGCCACTTTCCCAGCCCCTCCCATACTTTTTTTTACATAGGTCTTTTTGTGTAGCCCAGGCTGGTTTATGATCCTTTTGCCTCAGCCTCTTGGGTACTGTGACTACAGGCTTGTACCACTATGCCACAATCCTTTCTGAGGCACAAACTCAATAACTTAAAGATCTCCCATGAGGCCTCACCCAACCTCCTAATAACACCACCCTGGGACCAAGCCTTTAATGGATGTGCCTTTGGGAGTCACACTCACATTCAAACAATAACACCCGTAAGCACTGTTTTCTCTCAAGAGGCTCTGTACAGCAGGTGCATCACTTTGTTTTTCCAGTAGAGGATGGTTTACACTGTTTCCTCACAGATAACACAGCAGTGTATGAAAGTAAGGAATCCAGTGGGGACATTGTTGTTATGTAGACACATTGAAGCCAGGACTCCACAATGCCAGGGGCAGAGGAAGCAAAGCCCAGTGAGCTGACCCCATGTCAGTAGGTTTGATTTGTGCACAGTCTTGGGAACTCCCTAGATTTCCCCTACTTTTGTGAGGAGAATAAAGCAGCTCAGCAGGGAGCTTAGGTCAGCACAGAGAGACATCCCTGAGGGCTGGGTGGGGGGAGGGGGGGCAATTCGCTCCTGGAGGCATCCCTTGTTTCTTCAAAGAAGGTGAAGAAATACAGGTCACCAGGCAACTCCTAGACTCCTTTGAGATGTGTAACAGAGAAGCACCTATCTGCTTTAGATGAGAAGCAGTTGGAGTGTGTACCTAGTATTCTGTGTACTTCCACAGCAACAGAACCATTTTGGTGAGTTTCCCTTGCCTGCTGAGAATTGTGGATTCGTTTTCTCCTCACATCCACCTGCCCAGGCAGAGCTTTTTGTAATTATGCACAATCACAGAAGCAGCTTGGAACTGGGCTGGGAGGATCAGGCAGACAGCCCATCCACAGGCTCTGGAAGGAGGATATACCAGGCTGGCTCTGCAGGGTTGTGCATGCATCACACCCTGTCAATTGGCAGTGAGGCTCCCCAGCCCCACCTGGGCGGTCTTGCTCTGGCTCCTGGCTCCTCTCCATGCCAGCTGCTCTTGTGAGTTGGAGCAGCAGGCCTCAGGAACAGAGTCTTTCTCCTTCATCAGCCAGGCTTTCCTTGCTTCACTAGACTTAATCACTCAGACTTTCTTTGTGCTTTGAGCCCAACTGACCCAGCTTCTTAGATGTCCTGTATGGCTTGGCTTCCTTCCTTCCTTCCTTCGTTCCTTCCTTCCTTCCTTTCTTCTTTCCTTCCTTCCTTCCTTCCTTTCCTTTCCTTTCCCTTCCTTCCTTCCTTCCTTCCTTCCTTCCTTCTTCCTTCCTTCCTTCCTTCCTTCCTTCCTTCCTTCCTTCCTTCTTTCCTTCTTCTTTCCTTCTTTCCTTGCTTCCTTTCTTTCTAGCTTTAGATATCTGTTTTAGGTGAGCCTCAGCTACTCTGAGCTCTGGCCCCAGGACATGGCTGTCCCTCCAATTCCCCACTTCTTTAATGTTCTTCTCCCCCTGGAAACCCCCAGTCATTACACACCCTCCCTGTTGTGCATGAACCATTTCATTTAAGTCACAGGTATGGCTCAAGAGTTCACATAATAGCAGAGGAATTATCACCTACTTCCCTTTGAACCTCAGAAAAGGTAGTACTAGAAGGACCCACTTAAGGGGACTTACCTGCTACCTTTCCTCTAGTCTTAGTTTTTTTTGTGACTGTGAAGTCACAAAGTAGGCAAAGTAGGTGTTATAGATGAAGTCTGTGTCCTTTTCTCCAAGTTAATTTATTAAATGTGATGCTGCAACCTTGGGATGCAGCCTTGGGAAGTGATTAGGTCATGAGAGTGGATCCTCAGTAATAGGGCTAGTGCCCCAGAAAGCGCCTGCTTCCTTTCTACCATGTGAGGGCCCAGAGAAAAAAACAGATGTCTGGGAGCTAGGAGATGGGCCCTTACCATACACCAAATCTGGAAATAAGGTGAAGTTGTCCCAGCCACAGAGTTACTTAAGCCATCCTGAAAGCTGATGGTGTCTTCCTGCCTTTACACTCTGGAGCAGAGCAGGAGAGAGCCCGGATTACACTGATACTTTTTCTTATTTTTATGCTTGCATATTATAAATTCAGTTATTTTATGATGCTGGGAATCAAACACAGAGCCTCTTTATGCTGAGTGAGGGTCTTTCCACTGAGTTGTACCTGTAGCACCTATTTTTTTAAACTTTCATTTGTTTTCTATTGTTACTTTTATTGGTGTATAGAGGAGTTACTGTTACCTAAGTCAGGGAATGATTACATTTCTTTTTGAACAGTGGCACCTCTTTGTTCATTCTCTCCCAGGTTTTCCCTCTCAACCCTCCTCCCCAACAAGTTGTCTAGTTCATTTTCAACATAGTACCTAGTGATATCACCGCTGCATTTGTTCATCCCTTGTCCCACCACTTCTGTGTTCCCCTTTACCCTCCTCCAAGCAGACAAACTTACATAGAAGACCAAAGGTACAGAAATAAAAAAGAGTGACAAAGGAGAAAGTAAAGCAAAATAACAACAACAAACAACTCTCTTGTTTCCATTTCTTGGAGTTCAGTTCAATAAATACCATTTTATATGATCATATGTACCTAGCTACTAAGCCTTTGTGATCTGCTCCTAAGAATATCCTCCTCTGGTCTCACTGTGTGAATGTCACGAGTCCTGTATAATTTTTCATATCCAAGTATATTTTTTTTGTCTTTTACCATCCAGCAGCACCTATAATTTAATGTTACTTTTTTAAGTGCTGGGAATTGAAGCCAGGACCTTGCACAGGCTAGGGAAGTGTTCTATCACTGAACAATAATCCCAGTCTCTCTCTCTTTCTCTCTTCTCTCTCACTCTCTCTCTTTTGAGATAAGGTCTGCCTAAGTAGCTAAGGCTGAACTGCTGATCTTCTTGCCTCAGCTTCTCTAATGTTGGGAGTCCCAAAATTCTATACACATTCATTTCTATAGAGTATTATTATTATAATCATTTTGTTTAATTTGTTTTAGAAAGGGGCTTGCAGTATATTCCAGAATGGACTGGAACTTTCTATATAGCCTAAGTTGGTCTTGAACTCATGATCCTCCAGCCACTATCTCCCAAGGGATGGGATTACAGGTGCATGCCACCATGTTTGGATGAAGAAATTAAATTTTGTATAAATTTATATATTTCATATTTATTTAAGCCTGATATAATTAAAACAACAGTATGCTGGACTCTATATATTACTATAGATTGAGCAATATTTACTATTTTGCCTTATTTTTTAAGGTTAAAGAAG